CTGGCAACTTTGCCCATTGTGACTTTTGCTCCACTGGTGTAAATGTCAACACAGGAAAAGGTCAAATAATCTCACTTGTTTTCACAGAAGTCACCCACTCTTTGAGAACCACTACAGTATGCTTAAAATGCTCTTGCATGGTATGTTAATGTAAGCTATTTCCCAGCCACTTCCTATTCTGTCCCATGGTGGATTAGCACCCTTCCATTAACCAACACCCCCGTCTTCCCCTTCTTTGTCACCTCAATATCATCAACACGGTTGTTTTTAAAAGTTTTTAATGTAGGGCTAGGGATTTAGCTCAGTGGTTCTGCTGCTTGCCCTGCAAGCACAAGATCTGAGTTTGATCCCTGGTACCAAAAACTAAGAAAGAAAAAAAAGGTATTTAATGTTTATTTTCTTATTACCACATGATTATTCACTGCCAAGCCTAGTAGGGTAAAGTGAATGTTTCCTTGCTTGCACAATCCATCCCTCAGTATCTGCAGGGGTTGCATTCCAGGATTTCCCCATGGACACTAAAATCAACAGAAGCTTGAGTATCTTGTGTAAAACTCTTATTTTCATATAACCTGTACACATCTTTCCAATATATAGGTTTTGCTGATTTCATTTTGTTTTGCTGGTACTGGGGTTTAAAGCAAGGGCTGGGCCCAAGCTGGGCAAGCCCTCCACCATTGAGCTTCCAATGCTTTAAATCATTTCTAGGTAACTTATAATATCTAATTCAACACAAATGATGTGTTAATAGTTGTTACATTATATTATTTAGGAAATAATGGCCCAAGTGGATCTGCATATATTCAGCACAGACACAATTTCCTTTCTGAATGTTTTTGGGGTGTTCCTCAGTTGGATGAATCCAAAGGTGTGGATCCCACAGATACGGGAGGGCCAAAAGCACTACTTTTTACTTTGACTTGTGGTGCTTATTGTCTTGGTTTTGGCGTTTGTTTTTATGTGCTAAGTTCTACCACAAATTTGTCTCAATTCTCCAATCGGTTTGTGAAACTTCTAAATATTCTGTTCCATGCGGCTAAGCCTCAAGTGATCCACTAGGCCCATTTGTTTTGTCCTAGAGAAATCTCTTAGCGAATCTCTCTCCTGCTCCATTGTGGAACTGCTGGCTCAGCCTTCTTCCCCTAACGGCTCAGATGAGGGATGGTGACCTGATGGTAGCCCCTAAAGCTCATTTTCTAAACTTGTAACCAATTTCCCTGGTTTAAGTTCCATGCTCCACCTTTTTAATTAGCAATCTTGCGCCTCCAAATCCCAAAACTTTCTGGGATTCTGCTGCACAGTTTGACCTCTTCTTGCACTAATATCCCCAAGTAGGCACTTGGTACGCACATTTCTCAATTCTCTTAGCTCCTCAGTCTGTTCCTCTATTTGGCTCTAGTTTGGGTTTAGCAAGACATTGCCCAGGCTGGCCTTGAACTTGTGATTTTCTTGCCCCCACCTCCTGAGTTCTGGAATTACAAGTGTGTACTACCACACTTGGCTTCTCGATTTGCTTTCCGTCTTCCAGAAGTTTCTGAGGTCTCGGAAACTCTTGTCTCCTCTCCCATCCTTTTTGTTTTCATGACTTTGTACCTTTAAAAATTGCTTTATTCTCATTTCAGGGACATTATCAGGAAGGTAGTAAAGATAGACACAGGTTCAGTGTGTCACACTGAATTGGATTGCCCAGTGTTTGTATTTGGAACCACAAATGGTCTGAGCATTTGGTCACACATGCTTCTTGGAAACTCGGTGAGATTTATGTCCAAGGAGATTTATGAACCCATTTCAGCCGCTGTGTTTTCTGTGCACTATTGCTGCCACAAGAGAACGCAGAGACTGGCTGAGAATTTAATGGAATAATAAATACTCACAAAATATTAGCTATTAAATTTCCCCATCTTTTGGTCTTTCAACAAATAAGCCAAACCCTTAATTTCTGACTACCTACCATGTGCCAAGGCACAATTATAATCCTGGAATAGAAATGATAAATAAGAATGGTAAAGTACTCTCAGGGACCCTTACAATCTACTGAGGGAGAAAAAAGTGACAAAGTAAATAAATAAAATGATTTCATATAAGGAGGACTGCTGTGACGATTACAAAAGAAGGGAGCATAATACAGCAACCAAGGAAAAAGGAGCTGCATCAGGAATAGGCCTGGGAAAGCCTCTCTGAGCTGGAGCTGAAGTCTGACTGATGAGAGAGTCCTATCTGCGTGAAGATCTGGGAAAGGAAGATTTCAGAAAGTACAGGAATGCCAAGGTGGGGAAAAGCTCAGTAAGCTCATGGAACAGAAAGGGAAGTGCGGTTGGAACATACAAAGGGAAGAGTGCTAAGAGATGGGCTCTGGAAATCAGGGGCCAGGGATGTAGCTCAGTGGTGCTGTACCTGAGCTCGATCCCCAGTACAAAAAAAAAAAATTCAGAAATCAGGGTTAGAAAGACCAATTTGAGATCTTTTCCCAAGTAGTGGAGATAAATGAAACTACAGTCTGAGGTAAGATGGCCTAGAGAGAGAGAATGGATAGAAAAGTGTGTCAGACACTCTGGATGATGCAGAGCATCTAAAACCTTATCTGTCCCATCCAAGAACCTACAGTCCAGTGCAATGGAGGAGTCAAGAGAAATTGTCACACTGAATGCCATTCATCTGTATTAACAGCACAAAATAAGAGGAAAAAATAAATTTCCAAAATACAGAACAATAGGAGACAGTATATAAACCGAGTCATGTTATGATGTGGCACAGGTATTTTTTTTAAAAGTAAAGTTGGAAAACATAACTATCATTGAGAGTTGGTGGTAAAATGCAGTTTTGTACAAGAGGTGAGATATGAGTCCAGCTTTGGTAGATGAGTTGTATATACAGTTGCTGAAAGTTGGAGAAAGAGCATCTCAGACAGAGAGAAAAACATGAGCAGAGGTTTGAAGGTGGAGGTGACCATGACATATTTATGGAACAGTGGAGAATGACTTGACTTTTCGGAAGATGAGCAAGTGGGATTTCCTTAAAGTGCTTTAGAAATTTGCTTTGTAAAGGGAGGGAGGAGAAGCTAACACTCTGAGTAGTTAGATCTGGAAGACAGTAAAGACTGGTAACTACCAAAATTTTTTACACTGAATACTTGTAATACTTCTCCACTGTACTACTTTTTATTATGTTCATTTAATAATTATTTATTTATTATGTCCATTTAATAATCAAAAAATGAAAACAATAGAAGAGGTGCGTGAAACATCTCACTCCTGTCTGTCGTTATCCATCTTGTTTCCGTTCACTTCGGTAGGCAGTCACATTTGATTTTCGTTTTATTCTTTCTAGTTTTCTTTGTATTTCTTACTTCCTGTCCATTTCCTACAGCTGCCACAACAAATTTCCACAAATCGGATGACTTAAAATGAGAGAAATGTACTCTCTCACAGAGAATAAGGACTGAAAGAATAAGGGCTGAAATAAAGTGTTGCTAGGGCCCTGTTGCACCTAAGAGTCTAGATAGGATCCTTCCTGGCCTCTTTGTAGTTTCCGGGGGTGGCTGCCGACCCTTGGTGTGTTTTGGCTTGTAGCTGTGTCACTCTAGTTTCTATCTCTTTCACATGACGTTCCGGTCTTACGTGGGTTTTCATCTTTTTACAAGGACCTCATCACACTGGGTTAGGGCCTATCCTAATGACCTTGTCTTTACTTCATTCTGTCTGCAAAAAACATTTCTAAATTAGGTCATATTCTCAGACATAGTGGAGGTTAGGACTTCAGCTACCTTCTGGGGGAGACACAATCGGAACCATAACACCCATTTCTTACACAAAGCTAACAACTATTTTTCACCTTAATGTTAAATTTACCTGCATATTTTAGGCTCCTTTCCATATCAATACATACGGATCTTTCTAATTCTTTGTTTTAGAGCTGCAGAGTGTCACATGTGGCTGTCTCGTGGTTAATTACATCAGTCCCCTAATGACGGACACTTGACTTTTGACATTTCAGTGAATACCCTGTACAACCATCACTTAGTGTGTGCACAAGTTTATCTGTATCATAGATTCCAACAGGTGGGGTTTTTGTGAACAAGAATAATGAATGCATCTGTAATTCTGGCAGTATTGCCAGATTCCTTTCATAGGGGTTATCCCATTTTACATTCTCACTAACAGTGTTTGAGGGTGATCACACTTTCACCTTTTGCTAATCTATTAAGTGAGAAATAGTACTTCCATTTATTTCAATATAAATGTTCATTTTTTCTTACATACCTCTTACATTTTAAATGACTTTATAAAAATTATTTTTCTGAACTTTTGGCCCCAACTATGCCATAATAAAAGTTTCTAACTTCAAGTATATAGAAGTAAAGTAAGATATCATAATAGAAATTTATTTAAGGTAGGTTATTTGCCAGGGTTGGTCCACCCCTGGGAGAATATGACCCATCCTCCTTGCTCCAATGATTCAAGAAACAGCAAATCCATTTTCATTTAACTAGGTCAGAGGCAGTTCAGGAGCGGGGAATAAGTGAACCCTTTTCACATCCCTTTTCTAGCTCTTCGGTGCCATCTAGTTGAGGTATTTAATGCGTAGGACAGAATGCTTAAAATCACTTAGGAGAAACCACGCTCCCACCAAAGGCCTTGCTCTTCAAAGGTGGCTGTACATGCGTTCTCCCCGTTTCCTCTCAATCCCATCATTCTGAATGAGCCGCTTCCTGATTTCCTGAGGGAAGTGTCCTTGTGGCTTTGAACGCTGCCAACTCTTCTCCTTGGTTACAAACAATACCGTAGCAAAGATTATTTAATGTTCTGACTCTAAATTAAATTTGCCACAGTATTTTTCTTAGAAAATACCTGGAGCCGTGTCTGTTATTAAGTCTCTTTTCAACTTAGAAAGTATCATCTGGGGTCAAAACAAAAGAAAGAAAGAAAGAAAGCATCTGGGGCCCTCTGTGTTACTAACTCGTATTTCCAGTGTGTCCCATGGTTGTGTTCCCTCTGTTGTAGGTGGTATTGCGAAGGCAAGGAGCTTGAAAATTCCCCAGACCTTCAGATCGTCCAGGCTGGAAACCTGCACTCGCTGACCATCGCCGAAGCCTTCGAGGAAGACACGGGACGTTATTCTTGCTTTGCATCTAACATCTATGGGACAGACTCAACTTCTGCTGAAATTTATATAGAAGGTAAAGTAAAACACTCTTAAAAGATGATAATTATTAGTAGAACATAAATTTAATCAGGTTTGAGTCTGTAGTCCCAGCCCTCAAGAGGCTGAGGCAAGAGGCCCAGTTGCAAGTTCAAGGCCAGCCTGGGCTACATAGTGAGTTCAAGACCACCCTGAAATACATAGTGAGACCCTTCTCAAAACCAAACCAAACCAAATAAATATTTATTAAGGGCCTATTCTACCATACTTCTGGGCAGAGGGGATATAGCAATGAACTGAGCAAACAAAAATCCTTGGATTCCTATACTGATGAATTTACATTATAATGTGTATGTATGGATGGATGTGTGTGTGTGTGTGTGAGTGAGTATGTGTGTGTGTGTGTGTGTGTGTGTGTGTGTGTGGACTGTGATTAACTAGAGTGGCCAGTGAAGACCTCATGAAAGGCATTTGCATGGAGGTCTGGAGGAAGCAAGGGAGTGAGCCACGAGACTATTCAAGGAAAAAACACTCTAGGCAGAGAGATCAGCAAGTCGAGTGGCTCTGAGTTAAGTGTGCTGGTTCCAAGGCAGATGGGCCAGTGTGAGCAGCATGGGGCAAGCCAGGTAGAAAGTAATAGGACAGAGGTTTGCAGTTGCAGGTGGGCTGAGGTGGAGGAGACAGGAGGGTAGAGCATGTAAGTCCTGCTAGGTCATCACAAGGACTTTGGTTGTTAGCCTTAGGGAGATGGGAAATCTGGGGGGTCAGAGCCGAGACAGGAACAATCTCAGTTTGAACAGAGTAACTCTGGCTGCAGGTGGAGAATACACAGCCAGAAACCAAGGGAGGAAGCAGGGACACTGGTTGGGAGCATCTGAAAGGCCTCTGCATCAGCACCAACCTTCTGTGATTAATTTCAAGGAGGAAATCGGTTTATTTTGCTCATGTATCTACCTAAGTTTTTGTTCCTATTTTGTCTCATCCTCTGAGTTTTTTTCCTGAGGACATTCTTTAGCACTTTTGTTGACTATAATACCTTACAAATGCCTTGGCTTTAGCATTTGACTATTGCATTATTGTGGTATGAATGTCCATTTATCAGCTAGATTGCAAGGCCAGGACTGTTTTGTGCTGCTTCATCCTCCTCCTCCTCTTCCTCTTCCTCTTCTTCTTCCTCTTCCTCTTCTTCTCCTCCTCCTCCTTTTTAACTCTTGGTATTTAAATAATATCAAGGGCATGGTAAATATTTGATAAACATTTATTAAGTAAATAAATGAATAGGTACGTTATATGTTTTTATCCCAAGTATTCAGAGTACAATAAATACCTCCCGATTTAGCTCTGTTCTATCTTCCTGGAATTCACTATCTTGAGAAGTAAATCCGGGATCAAGGTTCTGCTAACAGCGCTGAGATTGGATTGCTGCTGCATTTTTTTTTTCTCTCTTTATGGCAACAGGACTTCGAACTCCCCCACGCCCGAGATGAAGAATGACTTGTTAATATTAGGACAGGACGGAAGAGCATCCACCTACACCTACAATGTTTGGAATCCAGTGTAATCTCTTCTTTTATTCAATCTGTATAGCCAAGAGCATGAGAGGTTGCTCTGCTAGTCCATAGACATCAGCAGATGTTTTCCATTTTCGAACATTAGACACTGGACCGGTTAATTTGGGCTCTAGCACTAACTCGAGATGTGACCTTGAGCAACTCCTACCGCTTAGGGTCTGTTTCTTCATTTGTCATATTAAATGTTAGGGTAGAGAATCACTGAGTTAATTTCTAAGTCTAAGATTCTGCAGATCTTCAAATTCAGTGTAGGAAGTGGCTTAAGCAAGTACCATCTTCAAAACCTCAAGTCTTGTTTTTATTTCTCCAGGAGTTTCTTCTTCTGACTCAGAAGGGGACCCTAACAAGGACGAGATGAATCGGTAATTCTACTTTTCTATCCTGTAGTCGTCCCACTCTGAGATCTCCAGGAAAACGTCTAATTGGCGGGACGTGGTGGTACACACCTGTACTGCCAGCTATGGGGGAAGCTAAGGCGGGAAGATTGCAAATTAAGGCCAGATTAAGCAAACAGCAACACCTTGTCTCAAAATACAAATAAAAAGGACTGTGGGTGTAGCGTTCACCCTGGGGAAAAACAAAACCTTCAAACTGGTTCTAGACCTTGCAAAGGGTGACTTCAGGGTATGACCTAAAAATAAGTAAATTAACTGAAAAGAGCAGAGCAGATTTGGAGATGAGTCTATGTCTTTTGCTAAAGTCTTGTCTAACAGGTTAATTCAAATATTCTCAATAGTTAAAACCAAAGTATCACCTTTGAAAAATCATCATAATTTTATCTACAGAGTAAAAAGTGAATACCCAGTGGTTTAAAAGAACTCATGTTTAAATTTCTCAAGAACACAAAACCTCATAACCCTAAATATATATGTGTGTGTATAATTTATAATATATATAACTTTACATATAATTGTATGTACTTTATTACTATAATTACTTATTTAGTATAAACATACAAATGAGTTATCTGGAGAAGTTACAACCTTTTGGTTGTATCGAATACTGAACAAAAATATGTCCATCCATTCATTACCTTCCACAACCACGCACTAAGCACTTACTCTACCCCAGGTGCTGTGCTAAATGCAGTGGATGCTATGAAAGCTCAGATGCTTCCTGCCTTCAAGACTGTGAGACTTCACAGTCTAGTGCAGAGAGACACGAAGCAAGAATAGCAAGAAATGTATGAAAGCATCTAAATAGTAAGAATAATGAAATGGAATAGACTGTGATTCCCTTACATAGTGTGTGTAAGACTAGGCACAAACTACTATTTTTAAGTTGGGAAGGGAGGAAGAAATCAAGAAAAGCTTCACAGAATTTTGACCATAAACTGAGTTTTTGTGTTTTGTTTTGGGAAGTACTAGAGATTGAACCCAGAACCTCGGGCATGTTCTACCACTGAGCTACATCCTCAGTCTTTTTTATTTTATTTTGAGACAGAGTCTTGATAAGTTGGCCATGCTGACCTTGATTTAAGATCCTCCTGCCTCAGCCTCCTGAGTAGCTGAGATTACAAACACAAGCCAGCATGCTCAGCTATAAAATAAATCTTAAAGGAATAGTAGAAGGCTACCCCCACAACCAGGGGAGGAGGCATTCCAGGTGGAAGTCATGGGACCTGGAATCAGACACAGGTGATGATGGTTGCTTGAGATTACCCGTAGCAAACAGCAGTATTCGGGAGAGTGGTTAGAAAGATGCCGTTTGCATTTTCTGCCTTTCCTGACAGAGGGGGAGCTCCGCAAGAGGGAAAAATCATGTTTTATCTTTAAAATGTGTCTATCTTGCGATGATAATTTGCTTTCTTTCAGCTTTTGCGCAAACACGGATGAGTAAAGAGTTCCCCTTTCACTCCCTTTCTGCCCGCTCTCCTGGCTTCAGCCCAATTCTGCTTCCTTTCCTGCCTTTTGCCAGTCACCTGCTTCGAGGTCTTCCCATCCGCTGCAGCCTTTCTTTTACAGTCTGGAAAGTGCTATAACCAAGTACCCTCTAAGAAAGCATTTTGATCCTATCATTTTCCTCTCAAAAAAGATGAGTTTCTAAGGGAAAACAAAAATTGAACATAAGACAAACTTTTTTTTTTATCTGAAATCAGCCTACCTACAAAGCCTTACTGAGGAGCCTGGCAAGCAGGCTTCCCTGCGCCCTCCTCCACCTCAGGCTCCCCACTGCTGACGTGCACTCCAACAATACGCGATTCGTTTTCACCCTTCCTTTCAAGCTTCTCGCTTTGCTGGGAATGCTCGGCCTCTCTTTTTTATTTTACTTTTGTTTTGATTCGTTGAGACAAGGAATCACTATGTAGTTCAGGCTGGCCTTGAACTCACTATGTAGCCCACGCTGGCCTTGAACTCGCGCCAGTCCTCCTGCCTCAGCCTCCCAGGTACTGGGATCACAGGTGTGTGCCACTACACCCAGAAAATGTGCGTAATTTGTAGAGTTTGTTGACTTCGGTTATTTCCACTTTCTGACATGCCAAAATTACACTGGCAAAGATCTACAAACCCTGGCCTCCTCCTTGAAACCGGAAGAGAAAATATAGAGAACAACAAAACAGATCTTAAAAGAATTATCCCCTGCCCATTCTTCTGTCATGAATCTCAAGTAGCTGTTAATAAGCTTGACTCCCTGACTACACTTCAAGTAGCCCCGCAAGAACTGAGTCTTGCTCATCTTCATGTCTGCTTTGCCTAATAAAGTGTGCAGCCCAAAGCTCTCCGTAAACACTTGTAGAATACTGTCAAGCCAAGAGCTTGATTTCCTCCAACACTCCACAGTGGTGGCTTTGCTAGTTTTGCTGAAAGACTTTTCACAAATAGATACAGCTCTGCTTTCTAATCTACACGTCTTAATCATTTTCAGAATCCAGAAGCCAAATGAAGTGTCACCACCTCCCACTACTTCTGCAGCCATTCCTGCGGCAGTGCCTGCAGCCCAGTCTCTGGTGGCCCACCCGAGAGTGCCAACCATCCAGCAGGTACAGAATCTAGATGAAACACAAACACGCGGGCTGTGATGGACATGCGCTGTGACCCTGACCATCTCATGAGGCACGATGGTGCTGTCCTCTGTAGAGCTCTGTCAGGGTGAAAAGAGCTTTGTGCTCCTGATGTGTGACAGCAGCGGTCCTCACTGGCCCAGCCTCATCAGCAAATATCACAGGGAAGGAAACTGTGCAAATTAGTCTCCGACATTCTGGCTTTATCAAGAGTGCCAATTATTTGTAGGATGAGCTACCAGCTCTTGGACAGGCCCAGGATACTCTACATCAGAAAACTCAGTTTCATGGAGCTGCAAAAGATTTTATTGCCTAAGAGAGAGCAAGCAGGAAGTTATTTTTTAGATAGTAGCAAAGACTCTTGTCTTTCAAGTTAATAATGATAATATATGCTCAGTACTTTAAAATTCATAAACTACAGGAGCGTATTAAATAAAAACTTTAATCAAAGTTCTCCACCACTCCTCAGGAGTATTTCTCAGCAGTTTCAGATACTTCCAGGCATATCTATCCACATATAAGAATATATATGTATGTATCTACTTTAAAGCATATTAAATCATATGGCCTAAATATGTTTGTAAAATGTTATTGATATAACATTGATGATAAATCTTTTTTTTTTTTTTTTTTTTGGTATGGGGATCAAACCCAGGACCTTGCACTTGCCAGGCAGGCGGTGAACCACTGAGCTAAATCCCCGGCCCACATTGATAATAAATCTTGATGATAAATATATTTAAATATATTGATTTCCAACCTCTTCTTCTGAAAAATCGGAATTACTTACCTAATCTATTTAGTAATGCAGAAGGATCGAGTTTTAGTTCTACTCCACTGGTTTTCCACTGTGATCTGTGCTGTCCTAGGGGTTTTATGAGATCACTTCAGGGAATCAGTGTTAACTGCGTGGATTCCAGCACTGAGCACCGGGGTGGCCAGCACACGTTTTACAGTCTCAACCTACAAAGGATTGCCCTCAATTCCACCTAAAATCTGAAGGCTGTGACTCATAAAGTGAGAAGACATGCCTTTTGACTTGAGATTAATTTTATATATCAGATTCTGTAAATCTGCTGTATCTATCAATCCAGGTAATAATTCTAGTCACAATGAATCTGTTGTTGGTTCCCTTCTAACAGTGCCAGAGTCCTACCAACTATTTGCAAGGATTGGATGGAAAACCTATCATTGCGGCTCCAGTGTTTACAAAGGTAATCAAAACATGACTTCTTTCTTTTTGGCCTGGCTTTAAAGACACCAGAGAACCTCCACAGAGTTACAGACCCAAGGTTGACAGATCTTATTTTGGTATTTTTGGTTCATGTATGTACAGTAAAAGGTGCTTAGGGTTTTTCAGCATCACTTTGAGTTCCAGATTTCTAATTATAGGTACTTTTTGTTGTTGGGTGTCTGCTGCTGCTGCTGCTGCTGGGTTTTTTGGTTTTTTTTCCTTGTTATTTTTTTCCCCCTAGTACTGGAGATGGGGCCCAGGGCTTCACACATGCTAGGCAAGCGCTGTCACCGAGTTACATCCCCAGCAACTACCCCTTCCCCTCTTTTTGAGATAGGGTCTTGCTAAATTGCCCAGCCTGGCTTGAAGATTGACATCCTCCTGCCTCAGCCACCTGAGTAGCTGGGACTACAAGTGTACACCACCCACACCAAGCTTTAATAACAGTTTTTAATGATCAGAGCATTCCCCCTCACCACAGTGATCTCAATGACCAGTCTTAGGCTTTGAGACAGCCACATCCAAAGATCAGGTGATCCGATTCCAGCCACTTATTACTCCAGAGCTTTCTCTGGACTTTCAGAAGTATCTGGTTCCAGGGATCTGTCTCAAGTGCTCAAGGACATGGAGTTAAATGCTCTTGGGAAGTTTAACATAAGACCTCTCTCAAGGACAAAGAGCTTTCTTTTTCTGCTCCCTGGTATCAGCTACTGTGCTATCAGCAAATTGTGACACACATAGTCTTTGTATTTAGAACTGGAAAGTCCAGTCAGGCACTTTCATTTACAAATTAAAAATCCAAGAGAGAGCCAGAGTGATTAAATTATTTTTGCCAAGGTCACAGGACTAGTTAGTGGCAGAATGAGGACTAGAAACAAGTTCTCCTACTTCTTGGTCTATCCACCATTATATAACACAGAGTATATTTATCTGTTGTTCAAAACAGTTCAAAGGTTTAAGAATTGAGTCACATTAGATTTGGGGGGATTATGAAGACCCCGTAGTAGACTCTTTGCCTGGATTTATAGTCTGTTATATAAATAGCAAACAGGCTCAAAGAGATTTCATCCTCTAAGAAATGTGTGGTTTAGAGCAGTAGTTATCAACCATGGTGAGTTTTGTTCTCCAAAAGAATGTCTGGCCGTGTGTGGTGGCACATGCCTGTAATCCCAGCACTTGGGAGGCTGAGGCAGGAGGATCACTGTGAGTTCGAAACCAGCCTGGGCTACATTGTGAGTTCCAGGTCAGTCTCAACTACATAGTGAGACCCTGTCTCAAAAAACAAACAAAAAAATAAAGAAAGAAATAAAGAATGTCTGGACACAGTTTTAGTTGTCACAACTGAAGAGTTGCATTGATGGCATCCAGGGATGCTGCTAAACTTCTCCCGGTACATAGGAGAACAGCTTCCCACAACAAAGAAATATCGTGCCCAAAATAGCAGTAGCGCTGAAGCTTAGAACTCCTATTTGCAAGGTAAATGGCAAAAATGGTCTTTTCCAGCAAGTACTCATGTTTAAAGTAAGAGCTAAATCCACAGCTTCCCCAAGAAGGCTCAATTTCAGGGAAATGCCACCATACTGGCTCATCCAAGACAGCCTCCAATACCCAGCAAGAATGGGCCGTGTTTACCCACCTCCACATCATTCAGGACACTTTCTTACATGAGACAAGATGTCTCTCGATTTTTCAGGTTCTTTTCCTAGAACTTGTACCTGAGATTTCAGCTTGACTATTTTCAGAGATTTGAAGTAGGAAAGTAACATGTGACTTGGTGGATACAAGACTCTGATGAGGAATTGTAAGCAGACGTGTGTTTGTGGATATGTATGAAATATAGCTCATAGAGCTAGTTCTTGTTATCTCTTATTGTTATTGCTAAGGCACTTAGACTTAACATACAGCATAAGTGCTAGAAATCAGCACACTTAATTTAATTTGTCACACTCCTCTTTCACACCTTAGAGACGGTGCTGACTCTTCAAAGGCAGGTAAACCACTGAATAGTTGACACCCAAGCCCAGTAAAGCCTCCTCTCTTCCTATCCTCAACACCATCACCCAGCCAGATAGGTGACACCAGAGGTGTCCTTATCACCTCTCAACTTCAAATCTTAGGGTCTCTGCTTTTCATGTATCCCTATCATCCAGAGAATGCACCTGGTGCTATGATCAGAGATAAAATTGTTCACTTTTCTGCTTGTCCCTATCACCTTGAAAGCCATCTCTAATAAATAGATAGAAGTTCATACAGGCAATATTATCTCCAAAGCTATTATTATTAGAATCTATGGATAGGGACATAGCTTAGTGGTGGAGCCTTTGCCTAGCAAGCATGAGGCCCGGGGTTCAAGCCTCAGCACCACAAGAAGAAGGGGAAAGGGATCTGATAAGAACCTTTAACATTTACTCTACATTTCACAGGTGAATGAGAGGATCAGGTTTGGTCCCTTTTGTGTCGTGACCAGTTGCCTCCTTCTAATAATAATATGCTGACGGGCAGATACATTGATAAAGATGCAGATACATTTGAAAAATAAAAATAGGAAAATGACTTCATCATTAGATGTTTGTTAGGTAAAATCTTTAAAAGCTTTACAGTGATGTCTGCCATATGAGAAAACAGTCCTCAGCACACAGACCCAGACTCCAGTAAGGAGTCTTTCTCCACCCTCTGAATCTGTGCTTTTGCCTCCATAAATGGGAGCAGGATTGTTCAGATTTAGAGCACTAGGATAGGTTGTGACTCAAATTCCAGAAGGACTTATCAGCAATGGCGCACTTGCGTTAGTCCGCCAGTAAGGGCAAGATTGAGGTCACAGTCACTGCCAGTGTCATTAACGAACTTCTGAGTCAGAACTACCACTGATGGTGTCGCCTGGCTCTGAACAATGAAAACAGGTCATTTGCATATATTTACTCAGGTTATTCCTGTTCTGCTTACTTCTTTGGTGATTCTGGCAATTCTGCCCCAAAGATTCACTTTCTCTACTGCCCAACAAAACCTTTCTTTGCCAATTATGGTAAAAAGCCCTTTTTTTTTTTTAAGCAACAGGTAGACAGCAGTGTTTTGTTTAACTTTTTTTTTTCCTTCTTTGGTTGTACAGAAGTACTTACCTTCTTATTTTAAAAGGCTAAAATGAACATGAAAGGTTGCCCAGGAAAATGGTGGTAGAGTTAGAGTCCATTTACTACGCCTCTGTGGGATTCCACATAGTATTCCTTGATCTGCTAACAGACGATACTCACAGAATTTTTTGTTTATTTGCTGCACCGGGGAAGAAGCCCAGGGCATCACGTGTATCAGGCAAGCACTCTGCCGCAGGGCTACCCCCCAGCCCACCTGTGTCCTCACACTCTTTAACGCCGTGCGAAAAGACAGCGCTTCCAGCCAGCTCCTGTGGGGGGCGCTGGGGAGTGGAGGGAGGGAGGCGATCAAATTAGAATCTCGCCCCTATCGCTGCTCCCACTCCACAGCAGCTGCTCTGGCGGGCTTTCAAGGAGCATGGGCCCCGGCTCCAGCTGCTTCAGCAGTAATTTGAAGAGGGTAAGGGGGCAGGGGAAGTGAGAATTTGAAGAGGGCTCCATTATATAATAGCAGAGGCAGGAAAGAGATCTGGGCAGTAGCTGGAGTCGGATTTCTGAAGATTCCATGGAGCCCTGTCCCCAACCCATCAATTCCAGAAAATTTTCTGATTCAACTCTTGCATGGGCACCTACGACAATCGAGGGATCAAAGGACATTTCAATCAGCTCTTTATCAGTGAAAATTACATTGATCCAATTTCAGCCTAAGGCACTTTTACTATCCTAGGATGCAGAAATATCAACTAGACTTTAAAAATGAATAAAATGACAAAATGAACCTTGAGGCTGACACCTTTTCACCAATCAGAGAGAGGCTTTTTTTCAAGGACATTCCTGCATTTTATTTGTGGGCAGAAATCTACTATACAGGAGTTGGATCCTCTCAATCCTCTTTTAGCGCACCTGGCCCAAAGTTTGGCAGACAGAAGGAACGTGGTCAATTTATTGATAAATGCATCCACTTCAGATAAGAAGGAGTTTTGTGTGGCTTCAGAGTGAGGAAGAATAGAGAAAATCAATCTTTCAGAGGAAGGGTAGAGAAAATAAATCCAATGCCGACTGGCTGTACAAGACATGCTTTCAAGGCTTTTGTTAAGTCATCCTACAAAGAACGTCATCTCGAATGATCAGTACAATGGCACAAAGAAGAATTTGCCCTTTGAACATTGCTGACCTCAGGAGGTTATGGACCTTTGGTTATAGTGACTTTAGTCCAGATCCATAATTCCTAGTAAAGATTAACTTAATCTTTGCCAGTCAGGGACAGTTTCGTTTGCCTTTAGGTAAGTCAATGTGAATATGATCAAGTCTGTATACATCAAGTGTATTAATCTGTTTTCAGTTGCTGTAAGGAAATTCTGAGGCTTGGTACTTTCTAGAGGAACAGGATTTATCTAGCTCACAAGTTTAGATACTCAAGAGCATGGCTTAGCTCTAGTGAGGACCTCACAGAAGATGACATCGCAGTCACACAATCATGGCGGGGGAGAATATCATGCGGTGAGACATGGAGCCAGGATGAAGGAAAGGGTCAGTAGTGGCCTCCCGTTAGGCCCCACCTCCTGAAGAAGGGACACGCTGTTCCCATATCCACACCATAGCATCATGCCATTGGGATCAGCCAAGGACCTCTGCTGTGATGAACACAGGTAGTGTCCTCCACATTACCTTCTAACAATGCAGCTCATATGGACCCTGACGTGGGCAGTATGAGCCAGCTCCTTCTTATGAGACTTTGTAGAAAAGCATGGTTTTCAGCAGTGACAACTATCACTGTCCTTATAACTTCCAGTAACTCTTTCTAAGTGGCGAATAAGATGACTCTTAGGCCCTCCTTTATTGAATATTGATTCACACTGGAATCATCTTCCATTTCCCATCATAGACATTCGTGAGCCTGCTCCACACACTGGAGAACCTCAAGTATCTTGACCAGCTTCTCAAACACAGCACCAGTCTTGGTTCTTAATGTGAAACGAATAATAATAACCAACTAGTGCTGGTTTAAACTGAGAGGAGCATAGCTTCCTAAGGAAGTCCTTTGCAAGCAAGGCTTTGATGTATCCTCTGCAGGACAAACCATTCGCTTATGTATGTGAGCCGAACTGCAAGCCATGTTGGAGAATAAAGTTTGACCACATTTTGCTTATATCAGTTTTACAAATGTGCCATATTTCATTTATTCTGTTTGTTCTGCCACCGCCACCTGGGGGTGCCCTAATATGTCTGTCTCAAGAAGAAATAAAAACTCCATGTGTGTGAATTCCAGATGTCTGACTGTCAGTAGAGTTTTCACTAGGCCCCAAAGCTGCCGTTTCCACACAGAATTTGCTCAGAGCTCAGGACAGACGATGTCTCCATCAGTGTGCCAGGAACACCAGAGACTCATGGGTACTTCCTCCTTTTCATTCTTATCACTATATGTTATTTGGGGCAAATGAGGAATAGTCAGATTTTGGATCAAATAGTTCTTTATTAATTCAGAAATTTGTCTCTTCTATTCTCATTGTGAATTACTTCAGTGAACAAATTCAGGACAGCGCAAACTCCGACACACCTCAAACTACAGTGCCCCCTGGCTGTTATAAAAATTTCCATATACCTCTAAATTAAAAATAAATCTTATTCCGCCGGGTGTGGTGGCACACACCTGTAATCCCAGCACTCGGGAGGGTGAGGCAGGAGGATCACTGTGAGCTCGAGATCAGCCTGGGCTACATAGTGAGTTCCAGGTCAGTCTTAACTACATAGTGAGACCCTGTCTCAAAAAAAAAAAAAGTCTTATTCCTGCTACGGTTTGTGTGGCTTTCCCTATTATTTTAGATAAATGCTATAATTTTGACACAGATATGTGCAAAATATCATAAGTTGTTCACACAAGAGCTGTAAAAAAAATCTCACAAGTCATGAGTGAATAACAAAAGCAGCAACAATAAAACTATTGGCTTTTCTATTAAACCAAACATTTGTAAGAATAGACTTCTCAGCATTTGTTGCATAAAAAGTTTGTAAAGCAAGTTTAGTCAGAATCTTATGTCTACAGTCTTGGATCCAAAGTGAAAAATAAAAAATAGGCTTACACACATGCCTATGAAGCATTTCCTAAGCAAATGAAGTACCAACCACAGCAAAGAATGTGCAGTTTTGGGCCGGGGATGTAGCTCAGTGGCACCGTACCTGCCTCGAAAGCCCAAGGTCCTGAGTTCGATCCCTGGTACCAAAAAAAAAAAAAAAAAAAAAAAAAAAAAAATGGAATGTGCAAGTTTAAGCTCCCAAATCAAAATGAATGAGAATGTAGTGTGAAGGGAAATATATATTCCTTTCTGTCATGAGTCTAGTATGGAATACACTGATACTCTACAATCCTACATGGCTTGGTAGACCTTCATCATGGAAGCGTGGGGAAGTATTAACGACTCCTTCTCAGCACTGAGACCTATTTTAGAATGACGTAAGACCCCCCGTGTGACGAGGATCTTATAAAGATTGTCATTGCTCATGTTCCTCAACAGCTCAGCAGGGTTACACTGTACAGACTACATCAAGAGGGCTGAACCCGTGGCTCAGTGGGAGAGCGTGTGCTTGGCCTCTGTGAGGCCTTGGGTTCAATCTCCAGCACCACCAATATCAACAAACAAAAGGCCATATAAGGAAAAGAAAACAGCAAAAACAAAAATCAATTTCTAAGACAACAAAATGTGAAGTAGGCAAAGCAAGAGAAGACAAAATTAATTATTTGAGCTACCGATCTGCTCTCATGAATGGCCACATTCTTTTGGAGAATAATACATTACTCCCATATTGAATCACCTAGTAGATACTCGCTGAAGTTTTTAAAAAAATCATTATTGTTATTTCTGGAAACCTAATTTTACTTGGGCATTAAGAACATATATCACTGAAAATTAGCTACTCTGCTCCATATGCTTTGCCTCATATTTAATAAATTTCTGTAGCCCTTTAACAAAGGTAAAGGAAGAAAATAGAGAGGAAAGAGCTTTACAGGTATGCAATGATTCCATCTTCAAACGTAGACTCCATGTACATCTACAAAATCAAAGCTGCTGGGCATGTGTATTTGAAAAAAGTTAACTATGGAGGAGATGGTGAAAGTTTTCTGAAATTCAGCATTAGGACTAGATTCCAAACTGTGCACTTTTTTTGTTCTAACAATATTCTTCTCATCCTAGATGCTGCAAAATTTGTCAGCCTCTGAAGGTCAGCTGGTTGTCTTTGAATGCAGAGTAAAAGGGGCGCCCTCCCCCAAAGTTGAGTGGTATAGGGAAGGGACCTTAATAGAAGATTCTCCAGACTTTAGGATTTTACAAAAAAGTAAGTTTGATGCTTTAAAACTATTTTTCTGATCATTTATTTTATAGGTTTTTAGAAACTGATTAAAACTCCAATTTAAAAAAAGTAAAAAAAAAAAATCACCTGTAACTATTTCCCCAAATTAAATTCTGTTAATATTTTAGTATATATTCTCCAAGAATTTCACCATGTATATATTTGAAATAAAAATAAGTCGTATTAGTTTTTGTAAAGTGATTTTTTTACTCACTCGTTCATGGACATCTTTACACATTAACACATAGATTTGTTACCTTTTTTGCATGCATGGTACTAGGGATTGAACTCAGGGCCTTTTCACTGAGCTACATACCTATTCCTTAATTAATTTATTTATGTGCTTTAAAATTTTGAGACAGGTTCTTGCTAAGTCATTAAGTTGCCCAGGCTTAACTCGTATTTACAATTCTCCTGCCTTAACCTCCCAGAGTTCTGGGACAGGCATGTGATACCACACCTGGCTAGATTTCTTACTTTTAAAAATAAATGACCAGGCATGGTAATATATGCCTGTCATCTCTGCACTCAGGAGGCTGAGGCAGGAGGATCACCACAAATTTGAGGTGTGTAGCCTGGGCTACACAGTGAGTTCCAGGCCAGCCTGAGCTACATAGAAAGACCTATCTCAAACACAACAACAAAGTCAATAAGATTAATTTTATATTTATTTAATCTCCGTTAAACATTTATGTTGGGGCTGGGGATTTAGCTCAGTGGTGCTGCTGCCTGCCTAGCAAGCACAAGGTCCTGAGTTCAATCCCTGGTACAAACAAAACAAAAATTTATGTTGTTGAATGTATGTTAACAGAGCAAGTCTTTGTGACTAGTTATTGCTCTAGAATAAATTTCTAGTACTGAATTACTACTGCAAACTCAAATTTTTGTAGGCTGTTAATATACATAGCCAAAAATGCCATCCCCAAATCCTAAATTTAAGATGGTCACACACAACTGTGAAAAAAGCATTTTATTAATAAGCATGAAGGGATCCCATGCATAAGCTAGGTCTGGCCCAGTGGCTCTGGGATACAGGTCACCCTTGGTGTGTACCTCACACCCAGCAGTCTATGGAAATCCCCGTCCCATACCTTTGCTAACCATGGACATCAGCCATTTTAGTAAATCTGCACTGACTTTAGAGAAATTATATATGGGCAGAATTAATGTGAGCTGTGCTTCACTAATTAGATGTAGGATAGCCCTTTTTCATATTTATTTAGGTTACTGAGTTCCTTAATTTCATATTGGGATTCATGTTTTTTGTTTGTTTGTTTGTTTGTTTGTTTTGGTACTGGGCATCAAACACTGGTTCTTGTGCTTGCAAGGCAGGCGGCGGAACCACTGAGCTAAATCCCCGGCCCTTATGCTTTTTTTCTTGTAAGAATGATTTAGATATGCAAGGGGTTGATTCTTTTTTGGTTTTGGTTTTGGTTTTTTGTTTGGTATCAGGGATCGAACTTGGGACCTTGCCCTTGCAAGGCAGGCGGTGACACAACTGAGCTAAATATCCAGCCCTTTCTTTTTTGATGGTATATGTACTACTCTCACTTTGCCATTCATTTGCTGTCTTTCTCCTTGATCATTTCAGTCATAAAAATAAATTACAACTCATTTGTTTCTTTTAATATATATATATATATATAT